TAATTACTGCGTACTCTTAACCCGTAAGATATTAAACAGACATATATGTGTAGTATGTATTACTTTGATTCACATGGGTGAGGCTTAGTGAACTGGGCCAATAGACTCGCTGTCTTGGGTAATATTGCTACATGTAGGATGTTCTGTTAGGATATTTACGGTCACCATGTGCGTTAGTTTGATGATGTCCTTGGAGCGAGTTCATGAAGGATTATTATGCTAAATCTGCAGGTGGATTAAATTCCGGCATAGTAATAATGTGATGAACGAACGCTAGCTTTGGTGAAATAATTATAAATTAATTAATTCTTGATTGTCTGTAATCGAATTAAGTAATGGACATTATATCTTAAACATGGGGAGATAAATCAAGTAATTATTAATGGAGTCTCAATTGTAAATTGGGCTAGGAAAAGGGAGTGCAATAATATTATGTTGGTGACCCATTTAATATTATTTAATTAATTAAAATAAGCGGCTTGGTCCACAAGTATTTTAATTAATTACAGAGCCCTAATCCTAATCTCCTAAGGATCCCTACTGTAGCTCTATATATACATTATTAAGCTCATGGGAGAGAAGAGAATTCCACATCTTGGAAATCGCTCCCCACGCCTCTCTTCTCTCTCTCAGTTCCCATTCGAGTTTCATCTTCTTCTTGTTGTTCCACTAGTACAAGATTAAGAGGTGTTTGAGATATACAGTAGAAGATCTTTGGGTAAAGTGAGACAAAATATATTTGGTCGTACATTACTAACGGAGGTTCGATCAAGACGTGCAGCATACCTAGACGACCGTCTCGACAAGTGCTTTCCAACGCCACCGAGATCGCAACCGCCCGACCACCCACGCGCCCGCACGCGCCGCCGCAAGGTCCTAGGACTGCAACTTGTCTTCATCTGTTTTGCACTCGTTTGATCCGATTTTCGATCCGATCTTGTTCGTGCAATCCTAGGACGCTATTTGCAGTCAACAATTCATTGGTGGCTGTGTACGGCCATCCAAAAGATTAGCCAGATCGCCATAAATTTTAAGCCGTAAGTTCTCTACGCAAACCTTTAGATCCGCTGCGCATAGATTTACGTTTTGCTATTGAATTCGTGATTTGTGCATAACAAGATCTTCATTGATCCCAATAGGTCCAGCTTCAGGACATTTTTGTGAAAACATGTCATATAGTATTTGAACATGTTTAAATTATCTATGTTTGTTTTATGCTTGTCTGCTTTTTTGAACTTGTACTTGCTTCCGCATGTTAGACTTGTGTTTCAGATGTCAGAATCCAGACTATTATTTCAGATGTCAGATTATGTCAGATTTTCATAATATGCATGTTTTATCCGGTATTATTCATGGCCTTAATTCTAGAATGAATTTACTTGGGCGCATGAATATTAGATTAAAGAGATAAAGATATAAGATTAAAGTTCAGTAGCATCCCGCATTTTAAAGTTAATGTATTTTTGAAAAAAAATTAATATGAGTTTTCGAAAATTAAATCAGTGCTTTCCTTTTATAGCGCAAAAAATTTACTCTGATTTTAGTATGTTTAGGCGGGGTGTTACACTTAGACATAGATGTAATCTGCAAATCCTGTGGTGTTGAGGCTGAGACTATTGAAAATGTCCTTTTTCTTTGCTCTAAAGCTAGTAGAGTTTGGGACTTAGCTCCAGTGTCATGGAGTAACTTGTTGCATCCCTCTTCTTCTTTTAGATGCTGGTGGTTTGATGTTTGTGCTATCAACAAATCAGATACCTCTGAAGCTCGGATTCAATTAACAACCTACATGCTTTGGTGGTTCTGGAAATCTTGAAACTTGTGGCTCTTCCAATATATCCAAATTCAGTCTCTCCAACTTGTCAACATTGGTCATAAAGAATGGTTGGAGTTTTTTGAATCTACCTGCTCTTAGTGTTCTATTTTGGTTTTATTATAGTCTGAGGTTTAGTTCTTTAGCTTTGTTGTTTTTCTTTTAGCTAGTTTGTTTTTCTTGTTTTGGTTTGCTTTGATGACTTTTAGTCTCCCTAGGCTTGATTGCAGTGGGGAGGCTTCCTTTAGTTTCTTTTCCTTACTTCTAGTTTGGTGAGGTTCTAGGCCGCTTGCATGCGAGTCCTCTCAGTCTTTGATTTGCGATAGTCTTGATTTGTACTCGAACTATGTTGGTGTTTACCTCTATCGTTCCAAAAAAAAAATAACCAAAATTTTAAAATAACATCAGATAACTGAACCAAAATATAAAGTTTGAACAAACAAAATTAGTTCGATCAATTTTTTGTCGCTATAGTGCAATCTGACAATCACTAACGTGCAATCCATCTTACACTAATGTGCACTCCAAGTGCAAATATGTTTTTAATGATTTTTCCCAAATTAAACTAAAACAAGATCATCGTATTGTAACACCCCTCCTTATCGT